CCCGATCTGCTGTACCCCACTAACTGGCCACAAGGTTAGTTGTGATGCCCCTAACACAACTGGTGGCTGCTGTGACCCTAGTGGATAGTTCTATGGGTTCATGGTTCGAGTCTTGGCGAGAATACCATCATTCACATGGAATACAACTGCAGCCAGATATGAAGAAGTATGAATCCTGGATTCCACTGTTGGTAGCCGTCAACATCAAGGAGATAAGGAGAGGGAAAGATAAGAAACACTTAGAAACCTGGGCTGGATGCACAAGTGGGTTGTGTGGCACGGATGGTGAGGAAGTATCTTGGATACTCTTTTAGTCTGGACAAAATAATTTCCGATCAATAAATTATTAATGAGAGAATCTGGGATGGTCTTGGATTGACAAACGGTGGCTTACTGATGTAATGGATGATGGTGGGGGTCTAATTAAATCACTAGACTGATTATCTAAATTTTCTCTCCATAATTCATACTGCATTTTAATTATCCAAACAGAAATATATACATAAATCTCAAACCTATAATCACGTAGACATTTCCAAATACTTTCCAATTTCCTCTGCTATGAGTATTTTTGTTGTTTTTGTTTTTGTTGAAGGAAAAAGAGGAGTATTGAAGTATGCCTCGAACAAAAAGACAATCTTCTAATGTGAAATGGACTTCTGAGTATTAACCGTGTTGATCAGAGAGTCTAATAACAGTCCGATTGGTAACACAGTTGAGCATCGTAGCTCAGTTAATAGGTTGCTAGACTGAGTAATTCAATGAATACTACTTTCAATCCTATCACTATCCATATTTTCCTGCCTTTATTTTTCGTCTTCACTTATATCATATTATTAGTATACGGGTGAAAGAGATATTAGTTTCTCTATTTCAGATGTGTTAATTTTTGAGTCATTAGCTAAAATATACTTGAATGCCGTGTAGGTGGTGCTGCTCCCCTATGAGAGCAATATCCTGACTACTATCCACTGCTGTTTGCCATCTTTTTTTTGAGATTCTTCACCAGTAAGAGATGAAGCAGTATGTGGGTGGTTCACTTGTATAATATTCTCCAACTACGCACTTGAGCCAGGTTCTATTACTTGACTTTGCAGGTAGTACACTTGGTAAAATAGGATAGTTGAGGGGGCGGAGGGTAGGCGAGGGTTCCACACCGTAAAAAAACAAGCTTGAAACTCAACGTTACAACTGGAAATACAAAAGAGTGAAAAGGCCGAGGGGGTGGTGGAGATATAACTTGAAATTTTACAGTTCAATCAAGTGGGTGCTTAATTTCTTGAATACCGCTAACCTACAACTAACTTCATCAAGAAATGAACCTCTGAGAAGACAAACCTCATCCTATCACAAAAATCCGCCACGCTCTGATTATTCACAGATACTAAGTTGAAATCTAATGCTGCATGAATGTTAACATGCAGTAACCACATGCACAGACAGACACAAATACATATACATACACACACACACACACACAGTAATTTAGATTGGACGCTAGTCCTTTGTTTGGTGTAGACTGTATTCTGTCAGCCAAGTTTGCACTGCAGTCTTACAGGGTCAGTCAGTGTTAACGTCTCTGACTGCAGGCGGCACTGGGGGATGCGAATTTAAATCTCAGATGGGACATGAGTTCCTTCAAGGTTACAGGTCTAAAGCTTCTTACCATTTACCTCCAATACACAACACAGTAAGTAGTTACTCTTGAAAACTTTCAGCGAATTTATTTACTTCTTAGTAGGACTAAATGTATTCATTAATAAATATAGATGATGTTTAGTGTTTTTTTCTGGGGGGAGGGCGGGAAGCATATTCAATTATTACTTTGGTTATGTAGCCATAGTAATATAAATCAATCAACTGCTTTTCATCATTTGATTCGTTAATTAATTAAGTGAATCTTGGGCTGATTATTATTAATCATTAATAGTAAATAAGCAACATACTTATAAAAAGATACAAATTACCTAAGGATAAATTTATCAGGAAAGGTTGCAAAACACACACACACAGATGGGTAACTGTTTACCATTATACTTTGTAACTCTTAAATAAGTGTACACCCCTACGACTTATTCAGTTGTTAAACCCCAGGATTGTGCGTCGGTGGCACGGTGGTTAGGACTTTCGCCGACCATGAACATGGTCCGGGGTTCGATCCCTTGTCGACGCACACCTGATATCTATGGCCGACCTGAAAAATTTGGGCTACCTATATCACATGCTGAAAATTCTATACATGTACCGAAAAATATGGTGTGGAATCAAGCTGTAATCAAAATAAAATAAATACTTCTAAATTACACAATGAGTCTACTAACCAACTATTGAGTCATTGGGTTAAGAGCTCTTTTACAAAAGTTTGAAGTCATAATATAAGCTTGAAAGACCTAGATCCGATCACTGGTGAGGTCCTGCGAAGAAGAGTCTCAAAAAACAGTCTGAAACAATATCTGTACGCAGCAGTGTCTAGTTTTCAAGGGGGTCCTCTAACCCATATCACCCACTTCATTACGTAACTGAGCTTGAAATCACATTGACCATTCATAGCTAATAACAATGAGTAATCCGAGTGAGATAAATGATAATAACCCTAATGATGAGACTATTTGGGATGACCCTGGACTGGACTGATTGACTCTCCCCCCCCTCACCCGCTCAACTGACAGCTGACTGAATGATTTTCAGCCGTTGCTTTGCAAGATCTTGAATGGAAGTAGTGGGCACGCGTTTTTTCCACTACCCTGTCTACAGCTCTTCAAGAACCCAGGACCTTGAGGTTATCAGCTGAACCCCTTATTCAGTCATTCAAGCACTTTGGGGGAAAAGTCTAGTAGTAGTTAGCGCAGAAGGTCTAACTTCAACCAATTCTAAACCAGATGATTGAACCAGTAGTCTCCAGATGACTAGTCACATAACTGATCCATATTGGATGTAGTGAGCTCGTAGACTTATGAACTAATTAGTATTAGGAGTTGGAGGACTCTAGGTTCTAATCCTGTCATAATCTTGATTTTTATGTTAACTTTCTCTTTAAATTAATAACTGGCAAAAATTGCTTACATTTTAACTTTACAGCTGACTCCTTGATCTGTGGAAATCTATAGACCACTTGGCAAAATTAAGCCAGTTTTAGTCTAGTTATTACAAATTTTACTATCTCATTGGTAAGTAAAAATTAAATGATTATGAGGGCGTTGTCTTTGATCCCTTTGCAACCAAGTGAAACAGGGAAGTGAGGCAGCAGGTTGCTAGTCTCACGCCAATCCCCATTGCCTTATTACCAGGCGCTTACTATCAGCTAGGCGAGGGTTAGAAGTGCATTTGGCCGAGGAGTGAACCCTAGACACTGTGCATAATTGGTGAGTATTCTATCACATTCTACCACATGTGCACCACATGTTCAGGCTTACTACCAACTAGTCGATGAAGTAAGGGCTTAGAAATACATCGAATGGGAATAGAAATCGTTATCCCCTGAAACCACTGATGTATGATTAAACGGGATTGGGCATTCATTATTAAATTGTTATTATTTTAAATATTATTGGAGTAAAAATGAAGAAAAAAAGAGAAGAAAATATCAAAGGAGGAGAATTAAACGAACTATTATCTCCAAGTCCTGAACTCTTCAGCGGTTGATGATCAATTCATTAGTTCGTGTACTTGAAAGGCTCGAAAATCAGAAGAAGACGAAAAAGAAGAAGATATAACTACTCGTCTCTCTATAGTTTCAATAATCCTCTAAATGCTGTTGGTTCGTTTATGATATTTGAAGAGAAAAGGCGTAACGAGCAATTTGAATGAATTCTTTTGATTTTTGATATAGTAAGAGTATTTATCAAGAATATCTTTTATCTATACCAGGGAGTACTGGACACAGCTGTTTCGTCCTATTTTGGGACTCTTTACCAAGATGCATCCAAGACCTGCGCCACTAGAAATTGGACCCGGAACGCATAAATCATTCAGCCATTTAAATGGGAATTCAAAGCCCCTTTATGAGTTCCAGTTGCTGTCGAATCCCCACAGACAAATTTTTGAAAACTAATCTGATATGCACCAGTAGAATGGCAATATGTATGGATAAAGTTGCTCAGAGTTCTAGGTGAGAAGTCGTTGAGCACTGAGGTTCATCAGCCTTGGGGGTGAGGATAAATACTCATTGATGATTATCTGGCGGTCACTCCAAAATATTTTATTTCTGTACGTTCCCAGTGGAACATAACGAGGGCTTCAAGCTATAGGCCTGAAGTTTCGGTTTCAGTTGTGTTTACTTTTACGGGATAGGGCTTCTAGCCTCATGCTCCCCAACCTTCCCTCTCTACCAGTCTTATTACTGGCTTAGTGAGGTAAAGTAGGAGTGCATCGGTAGGGGATTGAACCTCGGACCATAGTGTGGTCAGCGAGCATTCAACCGCTGTGCCACCGACACACACACACACACTCCAGAATATATGTCTATGTATTCGCATCTATAGTGCTTGTGATAAGTAATTAAATATAGAGTTAGTCCTTCCACTATATGATTCAGAGGCCTGACAAGACATGCCATTGAAAGTATTTCCAGTAGACCATTACAAATTTCCATCAATATCAAAATGACCAGATGACCAGAGATGATGAGTACCACGGAACTTTGACAACTAACCAACCAACCAACCAACAACCTATTACTCAATAAATATTTCAGAAAGAAGTTGAGGTAGATTAGAGAGACAAATTAGGAAAATTTGATGTCAAACATGCCACATGCTTGAGTGGTGGAACTCGAATAGGGGAAGTGACAAGTTGGGCGTGTATATCAAAGGTGACTTATACAGCGGGGCGGGGGGGAGAAGATCATGTGTATGCGGAGGGGATGAAGGCCTTTAAACAGTCATAGAATGTAGATATCCTGTTACTAAAGCCACCATGTTCTCCTTAGAACATGAATAATAAACAAGAATAGTAACTATAATAACGATACTACTAGTATTAATAATAATAGTAGTACTTACTTTTCCTCTAATTCCATAATTCATTCCAGCTGAATCCAACAATTTGGAATGTCCACGTGAAGAATCAATTATATTTTCCATATGATCAATAATTTTGTTTGATTGACACATCATTAAATTGTTATATCTGTTATGGTGTTGTTGTTGTTGATGGTGGTGGTGTGGTGGTTGTGGGTGGGTATGGTGAGGATGTGAGGGGTGTTGATGATGATGTTGTTGTTGCAGATGTTGATGGGTTGGTGACATTAATAATCGATTATTATTATTATTGGTAGTAGTAGTATTAGTAACAGTACTCATATCATCATTCTGTATATTGAACATTTGATTCCTTCCATTATATTTGAGTAGATTTAAACAATCGCTTTCCATAAGTTGTTGCTGTTGAAGGTGAGGATGAGAAGGTGGTGGGTGTTTGTCTAATAGCATTTCTCGTTGCTGTTGTTGTTGTCTTTGGCGATGCCTAATATCTTCTCCGAGATCCTCTATATCATCGTCCCCATCACCATCTTCTCCTTCGTCCATCTCTTCTTCTTCTTCTTCGTCGTCGTCGTCACCCTCCACCTCATCAACATTTCCCTCATCACAAACACCGTCATCATCATCATCATCCTCGTCGACCTCAGCTATTCCGTCTTCTTGAAAACCTTCTTCATTGCCAACATCCCCTTCATTATATTCATTCCTTTGTCTAACTTGATTTAAATAGGTTATTTCATTATTACGTGATTTAGATAATGACATCATTGAGTTATGATTACTATTACTATTACTACTACTACCATTGTTATTATTATTAGTAGTAGTAATAGTATTGTCTTTTGTATTATCTATGCTTTCAAAATCGATTTTTTGATCACATATTTCATTTTCTAACTTTGGATGTCTGTTATTCTTCCAGCTGTTGACAGCATCATCACCAACATCAGCAGCATGGTCATCGACTTTACCGCCGTCAACTCCATCATTTTCATCGGCATAACCTCTTTCTGCTTTAATTTTTACATCATTCTGTGATTCATCGCGAAGCATCATCATTGAATGCTGGGGATGATGATGATGGTGATGTGAGAATTGATTGTAGACAGAGTGTTGCTGAGATAATGAGGATGTGGGTATGTGTGGGGGTGGATTATCGATCTTTGGTGATATAGATCCATTATCATCATCATTGGATGAATACCTTCTTTCCTTTTGTGTTAAACATACATTCCTGTTCGACTGTAAACTCATCATCTGTCTCCTGTCTTTCTCTTCTTCTCTGCCTTCTTGAAATTCTTCCGCAGTCAGTGGGACCGCCTCCTCCTCCTCATCGTCTTCCTCTTCTCCTTCGTCAGCTTCGGTTTCATCCACGTTACAAATAAAGTTTTTACGATTGTCATTATTATTAGCATTATTGAGATCATTCCCTTCCATATCTGTAGTCCTATCTGACGTATATCTATTCATATGACTGTTTATGAAATGATTTGATGATGAGTAAAGAAATGCATTACTTATCATAGTATTATCAGTAGTATTATGTACAGATTCATTGTCTAATATATCCATATGATTAGCATTTAAAAGACTACTATTTGTATTGTTGTGAGTATTATTATTATTGTTGTTAGTAGTAGTATCATATGCGTCCTCCAGTGACTTCATGAACCACGAATTACTCGTATTATTATTATTCCTCTTGTTACTATAATTAAATGGAATCATACTATCTGTTGTAAATGCATCTGTTGTAGACATGAATTGATTTAACGATATACGATTCATATGTTGACGAAATTCATCTGCTGATGATGCTGATGATAACGACGACTCTGAGGATGTAACAGTCGATGCCGCGGCGGCTGCCGCTGCTGCTACCGCTGCCGCAGCAGCTACTGAACATGTACCATTCATAATTAAATTCAATGTTTCATTATTCAACTTATCATTCATTTGATGTTGTTCAATGGTTTGACTGATTGAAGTATTAAGCATTGAATGTGGATCAGTAATATTTATATTGTTTGCATTTGTTAAAAGTGTATCATGTGTAGCCATAATGATTTATTTGTTTTACTGTTTAAATTTGATTTTTGGCGGGAAATTTAGTTCAATGATTCACTGATTAATAACTATAATAAGAAGAAGGACAAAAGTATTCCACAGATTAATTGACGCAGCAGTAGTAGTCAGTCATAGATGTGTTGTTCAAGATTACAGCATAATTATAATAATGGTGATCAACAGAGAGTAGTGAACAGTTTCATTACCAATGAGTTATTATTTTGTTGAGATCAGTTCTATCAATTTTGAAATTGTTTATCACGCGATTGGTTAATCTATTGTAATGATAGCGTTAACCAATCAACGTTTTTTCTTCAATTAACTCGTATCACAATTATGAACTGTAAGGATAGGATAGAATAATAATAATAATAGCAGTATATAGTGTACTTCATTGTGTCTACACGAGGATACACATACATAAGAGGGTATAAAACAATGGATACACATATATGCACACACAATCTTTTCTTATAGCGATTATTGATATGGAATATGTTAATGCACACGTGCGTCCGTATGCATATTCTCCCCACATGTAAACACATTCATTCTATCTAAAGCCTATCAGCCTATCATAATAGTGTTTGCATGCCTGTTTGTATGTATATCTATTTGTATGTAGACCATACCTGAAATGTGATTGGTTAATTTAGATAGACTTCTAAACATGTACACAGTGTGACAGGGAGAATTCATCATTAGAAAAACCGAAAGTTTACAAAAAGAACATCTTCGATTTCTCTTCTCCATCTTATTTTTATAATGATCTCACAATCATAACCGTCACAGTTACTACTACTGGCCCTTGTTACTATCGTTGTATCATCTTTGTATATTAGACTGATGAAACACTTTCGAAAGCATACAGACAAACAAAAGGGGTGAAAGTAAGGCAAGTTAGGCAGGGGTAAACAGAAAAAAACAACAACCATAAACTGAATTGTGATCATTACCCTAGAATTCAAAAATTCCTCATTCAAATAATCAGTGTCAGTATGAGTCTTGTGTGCGTACGTGCGTGTTCGCGTGTGTGTGTGTCTGTACATCACTATTATGTAGACAATCGAAACAGGAAAGGGAAGTATAAAGCAATGAATGAACAAGACGATTGATTGATCTCTATTAAAAGTGAATGTGAACAATAGACTATGATGTAATCGAATAGCCGAACACAATACAATCATTTCGGTTCTGATATGTATTAACATTTGTGTGTGTATGTGTGTGTGTGTCAGAAAACGGAAGAGAATGAATCAAGTATATTCTTACTTCAGTTAATCCTCTTCAATTCATATTGAACGGGAAATAACTACTGAAATCAGTCTTAAAAATCAATCACATCCCTGAAAACTCACTCCTGAAAGTTAATCATTAGTAAGTGACCGAAATTCACCAAGTTGGGTGTGTGGACATCAGTTGTCACTCGTGTACTGGTAGGCGTTAGTATCAGTGAACCGTTGGTTTCTGTCTGTCCCTGTGACTGAATTGTGAATAAGTGTTTGTCTCTTAACCTCCAGTGGAGTTATGGATGAGTATCCTGAAAACTAGGAAGAAACAGTTGTGTCCAGTACTCCCTGGTTTATCAGTGATTAGGGATAGTGGATCGATAAAATGATGTTGAGTCTATCCTGAACAACCTTTAGAATGTCAGATTATTATTGATAATTGCATGAAGGATTTCATCATGAGCTGACATCAGTTAAAGAACGACTGGAGAACCTGGGAGTACTGGGCAGTTGTTTCGTCATAGTTTGGGACTCTTCATCAGTACGGACTGACCGGGGTTCGAACCCAGGACCGTCTGGTTACAAGGCGAGCTCCTAGACCATTGAGCCACTGAGACCCTATCCAATGGTCCATGAATTCTAACTTCTGCCAATTCACGACATAGTGTGACCATTTCACAATGTCTTCTTCGATGAGTTACTGGCTCATCTTCAACCTGTTGTACCCTATTGGTCACGACTTCCCGCTAGAACCCCAGGTTAACTGCCTGATAGTGACTGGAGATGGAATGGAATGGAATCCGACCGTGGTGTAGGATTCCAAAAATTCTTTACCCAACCAAGGTCACACAACGTTTCCTGCCGATTGCCGCCAGTCATATATGATCTATTTAGCATTATAGATGCTATGAGGAAAGTAACTGGTACTGTAAGATGATATGTTGTACTACTCAATGATACAATAAGTAGTTAGAGACCATTCATGTTAGACAGTATTGCTTGCTTTGTTGGATCAAAGGTACCTTAGTATTACAAGCTATTCACTTAAGTGGGTATCAGTATTCTGTGAGTTATAGTCGGTCAGCATATACTCACTGGCCAAGTGGTGTATTTAGACCCCCCCCCGCCCGCCAAATGAACTGACCGATTGGCAAGCACTATTGATGGCTGTCATAACTGATTTCCGATTACTCATACCACTCACTGAGCAGTATAGTATACACTAACCTATAAAAAAGTTTCGTACTTCGTAGAACCTATCAGGAGCAGGTAGGCGTAATTTTAAATAGGGATTGAAGTCAAATATATGCTTAATGTAATCAAAAGGCTGTTCAGTTTTTATAAAGGAATTCCACTTATTAAAAATTTATTCCTCAGTGATAACAAGTTTTTAGGTAGTGAGGCCTATCTGATTGTGTGTGAGGACAAATACCCACCAACGATGACATTGGCTAGTGGTCGTTCTACATTTGGAATTGGCAGAAGTTGGAATCCATGGGCCATTCGATTACCACCCAAGTGGTTGAGTGGTTTATGAGCTCGCCTTGTGACCGAAAAATCTTGAGTTCGACCACAGTTTATGTATACCTCTGAAGATTCCCAAACTAGGCTGACAAAACAGCTGCCTGTCCTGTAGTTCTAGGCGGTTTTCCAATGGTTCTCCAACTGGTGTCAGCTCATGGTGAAATCTTGTAAAATAATTCTGTTTTGACATTTCAAGTTACCTGTTGTTAGGAACGATCATTACATAGAGGACCGTTGAGAATCAGGGAGCTGTTGTATGGGTGTGTATGACCAGGCAGTGACGATACACACCAATGATCCAATTAGGGGTCAAAACTAGAGCCCTCAGGTTATGAAGTCGACATTTTAATACCATCCACCGAATGAGTCAGCTGAGAGTCAGCCAGTCAGTCAGTCGACCACTTAGAATCTAGAGGCCCGTTATGTGGCTTAAAATGCCAACACGAATGCTATCAATGAACATCTCCAAACTCGATATGTTCAGCCTCACTGGTGACAATTCTTAGACACATGTTGACAAACGACGTTTCAGATTGCGTCAGACTGGAGAGGACTCTGTGATTTTCGGTTGCTCGCTGAATGATGAATTCGTTTCTGGATTAAAATCCTTGCAAACAAAGAGAAGAATTTGAACAAAGCAAGAACAGCAGTTTTAACAGAATAAATTGGTACCATCTTTTATTTCGTTGCCTTCTCGTCAGTTGCTTACATGGCAAAGACATTATTAAATATATCTACAAAAACAATTTCAAAATACTTGCACAGAGTTCATTTTAAACAAAAATTAATCGATCAATATACGCATACACTAAAAATATATGCATATATATATATATATATATATATATATATATATATATGCATATATATATATATATATATATATGCAATATTATCAATAGGCAAAAGAGCTCAATTCTCCTTAAGTTTGCTGAAGCCATTTCCATCAAGTGCCTGAAACCTGATTTGTGCATTCAGAAAGAAACAGTTATCAGTCTTTCTTTGCCCTAGTAACCGGATATTTTCACATCTCCTTCTTCCGAATGCGAAATGCTGAAAAGTTTCCATTGTTTATGATTATTATTGTTCGGAATAGTGTTGAATATTGCATATTTATATATGTAGATATTTTTAGTGTATGCGTATTATTGATCGACTAATTTTTGTTTAAAATGAACTCTGTGCAAGTATTTTGAAATTGTTTTTGTAGATATATTTAATAATGAATTGAATTTTTGATTTTCCCGTCGATTGATTGGACCAAAGTGCTCGGTCTCAGGTTGACAAGTCGGCTTCTTGTGCAGATGCTTCGACGATGTCTGGAGATTTGATTTGTATACAATCGACGGGAAAATTAAAAATTCAATTCAATAATTAATATGACCCGTTGCACAAGAGGTGGCTCTCGTGGCCCAAATGGTCTAGTGGATAACGCTTTGGCGTTTGAAACTATGGGCACTGGGTTCGAGCCTCGGTGGGAACATCATCACTCACTGAGAAATGCAGGTACATCCAGCTGACGAGTCCCAAATAGGACGAAATGCGCTTCATCCTGGATTCCACAACTAGTCACCATCCACCAATTGTATATATATTTAATAATGTCTTTGCCATGTAAGCGACTGACGAGAAGGCAACGAAATAAAAGATGGTACCAATTTATTCTGTTAAAACTGCTGTTCTTCCTTCGTTCAAATTCAATAAGGGGAATAAATGTATGAAGGAGAAGAATGTTCACCTTTACACATGAGATCACAATTTACTTATAAACTTAAACTTCAAAAGCTAATCTGAAGCTGTCATGAGTAGCTATCAAACATTCTATAACATTTAATTCGACAGATGCTGGGTTTGAGTCTCATTAAGTGCATCCAGACAATGAGTCACCAACAGGACTAAACTTACACCATGAATTTCACAATCAGCCATGGAACTATGAATAAAATGTCTTCAGAGGTCGAAAAGCTGAATGATGTGAAATTAGTCGACGGGAAATTCAAAATAATCACTTCAATGTTCTTTAAAATATTCCGCACGTGTGATTTTTTCAGTCTCTCTTTCATTCTTTCATTGCGTCTGTGCTTCAAACTTCGAACAAATTGGAGTTTCAGAAGCGGTGAGGTGTTGCTCTTCACACTATGAGAGTTGTGTAACCTTAAACTGCCAACCTTCCCCTCCCTACTACAGGCTTACTAACGGCTCATAAAATGTGCGAGTTTTAAGAGTTCGTAAAAAGAAATTCGAAACCGAGCGTTGGTGTTTCATCGCCGACACACTCGTAACTGTCGTGTAAATAACTAGCCGATAGTAAGTCTCAAAAAGAGGGGAGGTTGGTGGCGGTTGTGGTTGTGATGGGGAGGTTAGGAAGGTAGGTAACTTCACCCTGTAAAATACAAAACAACATCCCTGCTACCAAAAATTCAATGAAGCCTGATGTAATCTGTCAGAAG